GACATCAGTTTGCCCTTTGGCACTTGGCCTTTCCCGGGACCTGCTGGCTGAATCTGGCAGAAACCTTTCCCTCCACCCACCATCTCTCCCCACGGCTTCTGTAATTACAAGACACTTCCTTCCCTATTTTTTTTTTTTTTTTTGTTGATGGGAACAGTCTAGCTTCTGTGGCCCAGGCTGGAGTTTGCTGGTGGTGCGGGATTCAGCTCACTGCAAGCTCTGCCCCCGGGTTATTCCCACCAATTCTCCTGCTCAGCCTTCCCGAGTAGCTGCGATCACAGGGCAGAAAGAAAACTGCCAACTCGCCTGGCATTAATATTTTTTGTATTTTTAGTAGAGGCGGGGTTTTTCACCATGTTGGGCCAGGCTGGTTCTCGGATTCCTGGACCTCGTTGATTTCTGTGGCCTTCAGCCTTCCAGTGCTGGGGATGACAAGGCGTGAGCACCGGCGCCGGCCCCTTCTTTCCCCTCCTTTTGTCTCTGATATCCATGGGTCTCCAGCCTTCCACATAGCCTTTTGACTATCCCCACAGTCCCAACGAGGGGGTTCAGGCCCTATTGTTCCAATCTCACTGGCATTTCATTTATTTTATTTTATTTAGGTTTATTTAGTTTGATTTTTCGTTTCGTTTCCTTTCAGTTTCGTGTTATTTTTTGTTTTGTTTGTTTTATTTATTTATTTTATTATTTTTATTTTGAGACGGATGAGGTCTCGATGTCTGTCCCCCAGGCTGGAGTGGCAATGGCCCAGCGAATCTCGGCTTCACTACAACCCTCTGCCTCCGGGTTTCAAGCTGATTTCTCCTGCCTCAGCCTCCTGAGTAGGCTGGGACTATAGGCACCTGCCACCAGCTCGGCTAAAATTTTTTGTTATTTTTGGGTAGAAGACGGAATTTCCCACCCATGTTAGCCAGGATGGTCCTGACCGCCTGGACCTCGGTGAATCCGAGCGCCCACCCGGCCCTCCCAAAGGGCTGGGATGTTCAGGCGTGAGCCACCGCACCTGGTATTTTTATGAAAACCACGTGCCACCTTGAAATTGCTCTCTGTTCAGTTTTTCCCAGCCTGGGAGGAAGGTGGGTCCTGGCCTCAGTGGCCGCCGTTCCGGGGCAACGAGCGCGTCTGGCGGGCCTCAGGTACCACAGGATCTAAATTCCCCCTCACTCTTTGGTATGGTTTTTTTTTTTCTCTTTATTGGGTTCGAGAGGTCCAGAAACCCAGTGCTGTTCCTCCAACAAAGAACAAGCCAGAGCAGCTCCTGACGGGACGGCATCGCACAAAGGGACAAATGTTGTCTTTTCTCAGACACTGGAATGGGCCCACCGGGGTCACCACCTTGCTCTCCCCACCCAGAACAAAGAAGCCTGTGAAAAAGGCGGGGAAGAGGGGGGCCGTGGCACCATATTCTCCTCATTAAGAATCCAACCCTTTGGAAGGTATCAATCTACCGGGCAGCCGACCATAAAAAAACTGGCTTCCCAGGTTATCCCTCGGAAGGCAGGGCTGATGTGGGAACAACAGGGTCCTCCCTTTCAGGCGAGGGAGGATAGGCTCGGCCACAATTGGTGTCACGGGCCCTATTCAGGGAAACAGGGCCTCGCGCCTCTTTCCTCAAAGACAAAAAAAGAAAAAAAAAAAAGAAAGAGAAAGAGGAAAGGAAAAAGAAGAGCTGGGTGTTTGCAAAACCTGTAAGCTTGCTGGGTTGCTGTTGCCAGGGCTGAGGACGGTGGGGCCCAGCATATCCCCCTGGAGGAATCCACAAGCCAGGGGCCGGGGGCCCTTCAGAATTGGTCCAGGAGGGAGGACCGCAGGGAGCCTGGGTTTGCGGGCTGATGGTGGTGCGGTTTTTTCAAGATCAGGGGAACTGGCCTTACCAACAGTTTTGCCTCCAGGGGCCTGAACCATCCCTCCCTCCTCCCTCCCTCGCCTCCCTCCCTCCTCCCTCCCTTCATCCCTCAGCTTCCTCCTCCTTTCCCTCCTTTCCTTCCTTTCCTTCCTATCCTAAGTGATTCTCCTGCCTCAGCCTCCCGAGTAGCTGGGATGACAGCTGCCTGCCACCACGTCCAGCTAATTTTCTGTATTTTTAGTAGACATGGGGTTTCACCATGTTGGCCAAGACTGACCTCGTGGTCCGCCCACCTTGGCCTCCCGAAGGGCTGGGATTACAGGTGTGAGCCACCACGTCCGACTGGCAATGCTGTTCATACCGCTCTCCTATAGCATCTCTAAGACTCTAAGGCTATAGCAGCTCCTCCAATCTCCTCCTTGGCAGAGTCCTCACTGTCCTGGACTGTCCATGCCTCCAGGCTGAGTGCGGTGAAATCAAACAGCGTCACAAAGTATCTGCAATGCTAACGTCACCCCCACCAACCACCACAGGCCTTACACTGCTGATTACTCTTTCTTTCCCATGTCATAGCCCTAAATAATCACCTAGTGTCCACCGCAAATGTCTTTTTAGGATGAATCACACACGTGCAGACCACCTAGATATATCTACACAGCTCTACTGCGTCCCCAGGTATGTACAAGCATAGGACTGCGACACATTTCTTCATGCATGCAAAAAAAAATCCATAGACACACCTGCAGTGCATCCACAGATGTGTACACAGTACATAACACAGCTACATGCTTCCACACACATGCAGGGTGTCTACAGACACCCCAACACACCTGCGGAATATCTATACAACGCTACACACCGGCAGGACGTCCGCAGACACCTACACACCTGAAGGGCGTCTATGGACATCCACACACCTGCAAGGTATCTACAATCTACACACCCACAGGGCATCTACAGACACCTACACACATAGAGGGTGTCTACAGACATCTGCACACCTTCGGAATGTCTACAGTCTACACACCTGCAGGGCATCTACAGACACGTACACATCCGCTGGGCATCTACAGACACCTACACACCTTCCGGGTGTCTACAGTCTACACACCTGCAGGGCATCTACAGACACGTACACAACCGCTGGGCATCTACAGACATCTACACACACAGAGGGTGTCTACAGACACTTACACACCTTCTGGGTGTCTACAGTCTACACACCTGCAGGGCATCTGTAGACATCTACACATATGCAGGACATCTACAGGCATATACACACATAGAGGGTGTCTACAGAAATCTACACACCTGTAGGACATCTACAGACATCTACACACATAGAGGGTGTCCATAGATGTCTACACACCTTCCGGGTGTCTGCAGTCTATACACCTTCAGGGCTTCTACAGACATCTACACACCTGCAGGGCATCTACACAGCTGCAGGGTGTCTGCAGACATCTACACACATGGAGGGCGCCTAGAGACATCTATACACCTTCCGGGTGTCTACAGTCTACACACCTGCAGGGCGTCTACAGACACATACACACCTGCAGGACATCTACAGGCATCTACATACATAGAGGGTGTCTACAGACATCTACACACCTTCCAGGTGTCTACAATCTACACCTGGAAGGCGTCTACACACCTGCAGGACATCTACAGACATCTACACACCTTTCGGGTGTCTACAGACATCTACACACCTACAGGTCGTTTACAGACATCCACACACCTGCAGGGAATCTACAGGCATCTACACACATAGAGGGTGTCTACAGACATCGCCACACCTTCCGGGCGTCTACAGACACCCACACACCTGCAGGACATCTACAGACATCTCCATACACAACAACATATTTCGGACTGTGTCCTGCAAACTTCCGGTGTTAACCACATTTCTCAGGAAAGCGTCTGAAACACCCGCAGTGTTTTGGGACACGGCGCCTCAGGTGTGGCAGGTCCAGATCCAGGCGCGCCGTAAAAGCTTTTCACACCGCGCTGCCTTCCAGAGGAGTCGGCCGTTCGGAGGTGTGTGCACGTAACCGGGGGGAACCCTCGTATTGTCTGTGTGTCCCCAGGTGAGTGGTGATTCCATTAACCACCCTGAACTCCGATCTCTGTTCCAAGCCAGACCCCAGAAGACAGATGCGCCCTCACGAGGCCACGGTATCAACACGACCTCTTTTGCCACCAAGTCGTCGGCATTAGCAAATGGCTCGTGATTGCGTATCTGGGGGCAGAAGAGGACGGCGCTGTGCGCTGTTATTAGGGTATTGATTTTCAGTGACACCCTGTCCCTTGGAGCTGTCTGTGTATCTTCGGCTTGAACGACAGAGCAGTTTCTGGAGGGTATGCAAAGGGCACTTTCTGGAGGGTATGCAAAGGGCACCTTGCCCAGCTAAGTTTTTTTATTTATTTTATTTTATTTTTATTTTTTTATTTTTGTTTATTTATTTTATTTTATTTTATTATTATTATTTTTTTGAGACGGAGTCTCGCTCTGTCTCCCAGGCTGGAGTGCAGTGGCCGGATCTCAGCTCACTGCAAGCTCCGCCTCCCGGGTTCACGCCATTCTCCTGCCTCACCCTCCCGAGGAGCTGGGACTACAGGCGCCCGCCACCTCGCCCGGCTAGTTTCTTGTATTTTTAAAGGACCACGGATGTCACAGGTGTAGCGACTCCCTCTTTCTCTCAGCCTGGGTTTGTGGTACGTCCGGGGCACACCTGCTGTGTGCAACGTGCAAGACAGGTGTTGGCGGAGAGAGTGGGGAATGAGGTGAGATCCCTGTTGTTAACGTTGAAAAACACGATATACACATTTACAAAGGAGAAGGAGACTTTATGTGTTATAAAGAGTGACAGGGCCGGGCGCCGTGGCTCACACCTGTCATCCCAGCACCTTGGGAGGCTGAGGCGGGCAGATCACCTGAGGTCAGGAGTTGGAGACCAGCCTGGCCGACATGGTGAAACCCCGTCTCTACTAAAAATAATAAAATTAACCAGGCGTGGTGGCAGGTGCCTGTCATTCCAGCTACTCGGGAGGCTGAGGCAGGAGAATCGCTGGAACCCGGGAGGCGGAGGTTGCAGTGAGCCGAGATCACGCCACTGCACTCCAGCCTGGGTGACAGACCAAGACAAAAAAAAAAGAAAAACAGAAACAATTTTGCAGTGACTTCAGGGCAAGCATTTTATTCTTCCCAATGGCCTCCTAAGAAAGTGGGAAAAGAAGAACAGAAACAGCACTTTGGGAGGCCAAGGCAGGTGCATCACCTGAGGTCAGGAGTTTGAGACCAGCCTGGCCAACATGGTGAAACCCCGTCTCTAATAAAAATACAAACATTAGCCAGGCGTGGTGGCAGGTGCCTGTAATCCCAGCTACTCGGGAGGCTGAGGCAGGAGAATCGCTTGAACCCGGGACGTACAGGTTGCAGTGAGCTGAGATCGCACCACTGCACTCCAGCCTGGGCGACAGAGTGAGACTCTCTCTCAAAAAAAGAAAAAAGAAAAACAGAAACAATTTTGCAGCAACTTCAGGGAAAGCATTTTCTTCCTTCCAACAAGTTCCTAAGAAAGGTGCGGAAAGAAAAACAGAAACACAGCACTTTGGGAGGCCGAGGCGTGTGGATCACCCGAGGTCAGGAGTTCGAGACCACCCTGGCCAACATGGCGAAACCCCGTCTCTACTAAAAATACAAAAATTAGC